AATAAAAAGTCCGTGCAAGTCATGTGTACAAAACTAATTGCATCAAAATTTATAGAAATTCTGATTGAAATCTTTTCCAGGTTAAGCAGTTTGGTTATCACATTGAGCAAGCTGGAATGACTATTAAACTGATTTGAGAAATGGATGAATGATCATATGCATATTAACAATCTAAGCAAGCACGGTAATTAAATGATCAACACCAACATATCAATGGACTTGAGGATATCAGTGAATATTAATAAGAAAAGAGACTAAGATCTAGTACACTACCAAACTATTAACTTATTTATGAGTAAATTATACTAACCTCCCTGAGGCTTCAAGAAAATATAGTAAACCCCCCATAGTTTTGGCATTATCACATTGGGTTTCCTTGAGTTCTTGACAACAACAATAGCAGAGAAACTCGCAGTATCCAAAAAAACAGCACAAAAACTATCAAATACCCATTAAACTATTAACTTATTAACTTATTTATGAGTAAATTACACTAACCTCCCTGAGGCTTCAAGAAAATATAGTAAACCCCCCATAGTTTTGTCATTATTACATTGGGTTTCCTTGAGTTCTTGCTAATGCTTATCTCATGCATGAATGGCACTAGCATGAAAATTTTAAATCTAAAGAGGAAAAAAAAACTAGCTACAAGAAAGCAAATTGTGCTAGCAAAAGATGAAAACATTTATTAAAATAAAATTGGCAGATTAATGATAAGATGGCACTTCTGTTAAATACTGTATCGAAAGGAGATGGGAACAAAGTACTACTCACAGTTTGAACAGCTAAAAATACCAGGAAAACATCCCTGGCCACAAAAACTCTAAATTTTATATAATCTCAATACGCCACGTGAATGATTACATAATCTCAATACAGAACATAATCATCAATGGAATAATAGAAGACAAATACAAACCTGGAATGCGTGAGTTTGTCTATCAGTTTCGACATCAAAGATGGACACCACCTTATTTGATGCTGCTGCCAGTACATGTCCACTTATTGGTTGAAATCAAACCATAATTACCAAATGTATGCATCTCGACGTCCGTATGGATGCTCTAACGTCATCGAATGGATGCTCTGACATCATTGTATAGATGATGACGTCAGTGCGCGGAATCGATGATTTCTAAAGGCTAATGAGACCTTCTACAGTAGGATTGGTGTGCTCTAATACCAAGTTAAATTGCAGAATACAAGAAATTAGGGTTAGGGTTAGGGTTAGGGTTAGGGTTCGGGGAGAATAAGAGAGAGAAAGGAAGAGAGAATTAAATGAATAGGTATCAGGGTATGTAATAACAAACACTCCACCTTAGCTGTGTATTTGTATCAGAACAATAATATGACAATATGGAAATACTACCCACAATGTAAAATAACATGAACATACAACTATTTCGAACAAAATTGATGAAGAAGGTCTCATGTTATTCTCTTTTTCTATCTTTTTCTTTTTTATACCTCAGGACACTTGTTAGCAAGACCCAAGAATATTTTAACTTCTCGTAGTCAACCTGAAAAGAGTGCCACCCTTTGAACTACACCGTGAGTAGATCTATAGGTGTGCACTGAGAGAGCGTTCAGCACTAAAAGAACTATTTCTTTTGTCCAGGACTTAGCGATCTATTGAATGGACTCATGTGAGTTCTTCCTGATCTACTTATTCCATTCATTAATTCTCATTCAATTTACATTTCTTTCTACTTTTCATTTTATCCAGAAATGGCACCACTTAGAAGCTTACCTGAGCCTTTTCCATCAAATAGCGGCATAAGGACTCTGAATCTTCGATCATACCAAAGCCTTCAGCCTCTGATCCGTAGTATGAGCTGAAATCGAGAAAGAGATAGAAAGCTCCCTGCAAATGAGAAGTACAAGAACCAACAAATCAAGCTTGAAACAACACCAGAACAGAGAAGAGAGAAGAAAAAGATCTGGGTTTTAAACACTAAATGTGTACATAAAAAATAAAACCCATACCTGGGGCTCCGATATTTTAACACCTTTCAATTCCCCAAAACACTTAACCAAATAATCTCGTCACTCCTGAAATGCTTTAGCCATAGTAGAAACTGCTTCCCCACCAGCATAGCCCAATTCCAAAGCAGCAACACCTGCTTTTTGAGATATACTACTGGCACCTGAAGTGGACTGGAATAATGCATGAAAGAATTAGATTGAGCATGTTGATTATAGTACAAGAACATAGTTCAAGAAATTCACCCAAAATTTAAAATAGCCTTTTTAAAATAACCAAATGCAATGAAGCTCAATTGACGACCAAAACAATGCAGTCTGCAATAGCTTTCATGCAGTTTCTTTTTACTGACATATACCAATATATTAGCAAGGGTTGGTCTCAACCATGTTATCAATATCTTCCATATCTTTAGAAGGTTAAAACCTCCACAAGGGATGAGAAACAATCTAATGTATCATCAAATTTTGAAGCATATTCAAGAATCTGGATTCTCCACGCATTAGATGTCACGTTAACTGACATTGATGAAGGTTACAGAATACAAATTGATAAGAGTTACTAGTCTACTAAAGATGATGAAAGAAAAGAGGCAAAGAAGTGTGCATACTTGGCTTTGAATCTTTCCACATGCTGCAACAAAGTGTTTAGGACCAGCAAGATATCCAAGTCTCCAACCAGTCATTGCAAAGGCCTATAAATATCAACATTTTCTAAGGTTCATGACTTGATATGTATGACCATATCAAAATTATGTGCAAGGAAAGCACTTCAGTAAAAATAAATAAATAAATAAATAAATAAACAATTTGAAAGGAATTAAGTTGAAGCACCTTAGAAAACCCGTTGACAGTCAGTGTCCTCTCCCACATCCCTGGCAAAGACGCAAAGCTTGTGTGCGTTGCTGGTGCATAAATAATGTGTTCATATATTTCATCAGACAGCACCTGAATAGAACAACCAAAGGCAATCCAAAACTTGATGTTAGGTAACTTGAATATGCTCCAAATAAGGATACCAAAAGTTGCATGATAAGTGATATTTTACCAGAAGCCGGGGATGCCTTGCCACAATCTGAGCGATCTCTTCAAGCAACTTCCTTGGGTAAACAGATCCTGTTGGGTTAGATGGGGAACAAAGAATCAACAGTCTCGACTTCTCACTGAGTTTGGATTCAAGATGCTTTGGATCTAAGAGAAAATTTTCGGAGATGTGGGTAGGAAGAATCACAGGGGTCGCATCAGCCAACCTTGCCATTTCTGGGTAACTCACCCAAAATGGAGCTGGAATTATAACCTGAAGAATAAATGCTATCCTGTAAGTGTCTATCAACTGCAAAGGTAGAGCATTAAATATAAACATTTAAAATGTCAGCAGCCTCATCCAAGTAACCAACAAAGATTACTTCCATTGTGCCACATTTCCATACTTCATAACACACACATTTGAAACCAGTACATACCTGTACGAGGATGAGACGAATTAGTCGAACCAGAGCTTCCTCGTATGATATGTATGTGTAGATAGATAGATAGATAGAGAGAGAGAGAGAGGGATTGGGGACGAGATTGAGAGAGAGATTCATACCGCTGGAGATCTTCAGACGACGATGACGAGCGAGAGAGCAGAGTTGTACAAGTCTGTTGAATGCGTGCGAGAGAGAGAGAGAGAAAGAGAATGATCCGCCATAGATCTTTAGAGCTATTTGTCAATTCTCTCTCTAGAATCATCTAGAACACAAGCTATCAGAGATATATACACAAATATATGCATGTATATAAAGAGAGAGAAAGAGACCTGGAAGAGGTTGAGGAGGGCAGGGGCGAAGGCGAGGCAGCCAAAGGAGAGAGAAACGTTACTGGCGACCTGAGAACTGAGAGCTTCGACGATTGATTTAAGACATAGAGAGAGAGAGAGAGAGAGAGAGAGAGAGAGAGAAAGAGAGGGGAACGATATCAATGTTTGTGAAATAGGGCTAGGGCAATTATAAGGAAAAAAGGAAGAAAAAATAAATATAAGGAATAAATAGATTATTTGCGACTGATAATTAGGGGGTCGCAAATTATAGAATTATTCAATTTACGACATCTGTTCATGGTCATTAAGTTAAACTACAATGAGAATGCGTTTGATCTGAAAATGCACCATTGTGATTAGAAAATTTTAGTACACAAATTGAGCTAGAAACAATATTCTTTTGAGTAGAAAATTGGCAATGTGATGCTTACTGAAAGGTCACTCATTTTGGAGACAGAGAGAGAGAGAGTTAGTTAGTTAGTTAGTTAGTTTTACCAAAAACAATACAGCAGCAACATCAATGAGAATGCGTTTGATCTGAAAATGCACCATTGTGATTAGAAAATTTTAGTACACAAATTGAGCTAGAAACAATATTCTTTTGAGTAGAAAATTGGCAATGTGATGCTTACTGAAAGGTCACTCATTTTGGAGAGAGAGAGAGAGAGAGAGAGAGAGACAGTTAGTTAGTTTTACCAAAAACAATACAGCAGCAACATCAATCCAAAAAACATGTTGTCTGTGCATTGCTCCAAGCATGTTCTTGAGCGTTTTTGCCTACGTTAGTCAGAAAATGATTGTTACTTGACAACATCAAAACTTGTTCATACACTCCCCTAGGATTGATTCATGAAAGCTCTGACCACTGCATTTGATATTGCACAGGATGTACAAATCTTGAGGGTGTTCTGTAACATTTGTATGTCATTTTCAAATATTGTGGCTTCCACTTTTGATTGCTATACTTTATAAAATTAATTAGTAACATTTTAAAGTGCTACAAGGAATAAATTAAACACATGATTTGCTTCATAATAATGAAGCAATTGGAGAGAGATTATTAGCTGAACACTAAAAAGATAATAAAGGAAAATGATGGAATAAAACATTTCAATGTTATAAATAGAATAAATATTATCAGTTACCATTAATTTTTCTGGCCAAGGCAAAAAATTTGATAGAGAGGCCAGCCGACCAAATCATAAAATGGATCACTCTAACCTGTAGAATGGATCACTCTGTCATTACAATCTGTTCAACAGCCATGGCAGACAACCTATTCCAATTGTGTATTTTCTAGTCCATGGACGGTTTTAAACAACAAAGTGTGACAAAGATTAGCTGTAAGGCCCATTACTTATAAAAATTAAAGAGCTACATTTTGAATATTGCTTCTAATGAGATGAGAATATCAACAAAAAAACCTTCTCTTGTAATGCTTGTATAAAGGCCTCAGAGGCATCACCACTAGCAATAGCCACAAAGTTTTACGATGATTTTCTCAAACCAACTAATCAACCAATAAACACGAAAAACATTGAAAAAAGAACAAAAAATTAGAACAAATCGAGCAATTTATGGATCAAAGAACCAAAACAGAGGTAAAAAACAAAGAAGCAAAAACAGAACCGAGGACAGATTTGCATTGCAATGCTGAATACATATATATATGTATATAAGCATTCATGTAATTATGCATTGATAGGACACTATGTACACAATGACGCTCAAAGATAGTCTTTGTGTGTGTGTGCGCGCGCGTAATGTAGGTAAATTTTGAGGTAGGTGAAACGCATGAGAGGTGAGCTTACTCTGCTGCATTTGAGTGCTCCGAGAGAACTTTTCCATGGTAGACTTAGGGTTTCTCTGCGACGAATCGCGCAAATTGCAGAGAGAGAGTAGATAATGTGTACGCAAATACAAAGAGAGCGAGATAGTGTGTGAGAGAGAGATTGAGAGATTGAGAGATCGAGAGAGGGAGAGAGATTGAGAGATCGAGATAGAGAGATCAATCGATTGAGATCAAGAGGGATAGAGAGATTCATATCGGTGAGCAAAAGCGAGAGAGAGAGGTTGAGCGAGCCAAGCTAGGGCAAAACTAAGGAAATGGAGCATATAAGTAAAAGAAAATAAGAGAAATAAAAATATAAATTAGAGCTCTTTTTTTTTTTTTTTTGCGACGGCTAAACAAGCAGTCGCAAAAAAATAGTCGCAAAAGGTCAATTTTCTAGTAGTGTACACAATATTATAATTTTGCCCTCGCGCAGAAGGGTCCATATGTCCAAGTGTCTGAATCAGCTACATATTACAAATTTGAATAAATAATAACTAAAGAACCATCTAATTTATTACAACATTAATATTATAACAAGAATATGTAAAGAACGCACAAGGATCGTATATATGTAGATTTTCAGAAACTGCTTTGTTTGCCTTCTGTGAAACTGCTCTGTTTCACCTTTGTAGCGCAACTTTTTCGCGCCCCTTTTCGGAAGTCGAAATAAGCCCTACAGTATCGGACTCCCGCGGTTCTAAATCTGATTTCACAAGTGTAATGTGAAATAGATAATCACCAAAGAGTCTATGTCCAGCAAATCTTTTGAAAAATCGATTTTGAATCAAATTGCCAAAAAATGGACTATTTTGCTAGATACAGAGTCGCCACCTAAATATTTTTAGGAAATTTAGGAAACCCATGACTCGTGCCAAAGGCCATGTGTCCGTCATCACCAAGATTGTTTTGGCTCGAGAACTTAGGTACAAGAGGGGAAGGTCATGAATGCATTTGAGCACCCCACTCACCTGATCAAAGACCGGCCTCTACTAATCATGATATGAATCTTATGTACATTATATGCTCTTGTTCTGATTTATTAGGCTAGCATTACTATGTGATGCGCACATACACAAGTATAGACTAATCTTGTGAGAATTGGAACATTTCGATTCATGTTTGTTTTTAAAAATTGTTTCGAAATATGTACCACTTGAAAAAGTGATCGCATATGAACACTACTCAAATTATTCCAATTTAAGCAACAAGCCTTTATCCATAGGCATTCAAGTAGTTATAACACTTAAGCAATTAGCCTCATGGCAAGCATGCTAAACATGGCAACATCAAAACTCATGTGATTATGTTAAAGCGAGTAAAGCCTCATCTAGTACTCCAAACCAAAAAGATATGAGTTAGAAAAATGCATGATTCCTAACTATGCAATATGACTAATGCAACACGTGCAATATGCAACTAATAGGCTCGGCTACTAATATGGCATATGAAACAAGTAAATAGCATGTGGTCTAAGTACGTATTCAAAGAAGTATAAGCAATAACAATGCAGTTAGAATGATGAACCGCGCCTCGATGCATGCAATACAAATGGATACAAATATGGAGTATGCTTAAACAAAACGTGATATCCCTAAACTAACCATCATAAGCTAGTAAATAAAAAGGAGAAAGACATGGGGTTGGAAGACATACACGTTACTATAATATTGCGCCCTGACATAGGAGGGTCCGAATGAATAAACTAGCTAATTAACTAACTAACTTAAGTTAAGCTAATTATTACAAAACGAATGAAATTAGCTAAACTACTTAACTAATTATTACAACAAATGAATTAACTATTCTAGTGAACACAAGTGCAATTAAAAAAAGTAAGTAAGCTAAACAATTAAGTACTAATCTAACTATTCTGCCTCGGGAAGTGAGGGATATTCATGCATATGCTCAGTTTCTACCCGAAAAGCCCACTGTTTTGCTTCCGGAGAGCCTCTGTTGCACAAAGAACACATACATTGTTGCCCACTTTTAGAATAACTCTGCTTTACCTCACAAACACACTGTTGAATTTTGCATTAGTGGCCGGCTGGCCGATCAACCATCAATGAGGGCTGTCGGCCACCAGTGATAGTCGGTCGACCATCAAAGGTGGTCTGCCGGCCACCTGTTGGCCATGGAAAATGGCCTGCCAGCCACTACTGCCCAGTTCATCTTGCTACAACAGAGAACAAATAGAGTATGCACAGGGCATTTTCAAGAGTTTGTTTACACAACTCACCCTCCTTTTCGTGAACAAATCAAAGGAGTAATGAACTTGGTTCATAAACCACTAACTCAAGAAATTCATTGCATAATGGCTCATGAACCAAAGTGTGCAATTTCAATAAATGCAACAAAATAAGACTCCAACCTCCTTCGTTTCATGAGTTGATCAAGGAAAGTGGTGACCTTGGACACTTGAATCACTTCATCACTCATGAGTATGAAATGCCTCAAACTTCTATGTGTTCAATTAACGTTTGATTGAACATAACCAATTATTATCTTGCACCATTTTAGGGATATTTCAATTCCAGTTTGTGGACTCTAAGCAACTCAAGCACAACTCGCAGGTGTTTCACGTGTTCCTCCTTGGAAGGTGAGTAAATCAGAATGTCATCAAAAAAGATGACAATGAAACGATCTAAGAACTCACGAAATATTCAATTCATTAGATCCATAAACACGGCTGGTGCAATGGTTAGCCCAAAAGGCATCATTAGGTACTCATAATGGTCATATAGTGTACAAAATGCCGTTTTCTGGATATTTTCCTCCCTTACCCTCAACTGGTGATAACCCGATCTCAAGTCTATCTTAGAGAAACAACAAGACCCCTTTAATTGATCAAACAAATCTTCTATGCGTGGCATTGGGCATTTGTTCTTAACAGTTACCCGGTTCAACTTCCGGTAATCAATAAAAAGTCGTAATGCACCATCTTTCTTCTAGACAAAGAGAGCTGGTGCTCCCCAAGCCGAAGTACTAGGGCGAATAAAACCCTTATCTAGCAATTCTTGGAGTTGAATCTTCAACTCACTCAGCTCGGCAGGTGTAAATCTATACGGTGCAATAGAAATCCGTGTCGTGCCAGGCACTAAGTCAATAGAAAACTAAATCTTATGATGGTGTGGCAAACTAGTGAGATCCTTAGGAAAAACGTCTGGGTATTCATAAACTACCCTTGGCAAATCAACTCAAATTTCATCACACTCATTACCCAAGAAGGTTGGAAGAAGACAACTAAGTTCACTCCGACCACGGAAATCATACACATGCGATAAAACTCCATCAGCTCTGTCCCCCATGAAATAAAAACAATCAACACTCAAGGTGCATACAATAACCCTCTGACGCTAACAATCTATGACAACCTGATACGATGATAACCAATCCATACCTAATATAGCATCAAAACTCGACATGTTAATTAACACAAATGCAAAAGGAACTCGGCGACCGATAACTTCTAAGAAAGTACCTCCCAAGCTATTGCCTTGGCATAGGCATGTCATAAGCACCTGAAATGTTTTTCCCACATAGGGTGTGCCAAAGCCCAGTAGAATTAATTCAACATAGTATATGAATCTTAACAAAGCTATAAGGTAAATACATATGCAATGCTTGTATCAAAACTTTTTATCTTTTTACAAAAACCATGTAATGCCAAATGAATATCATAGTTCATAAAATATTCTCATTTCAAGGGAAAAGAAGGGCAGTGAATCATATTTCTGGAAATCTCTAAAACAGTATCACATTTCGCAAAAATGCGTCCACCGAAAACCGTAAACTGGCACCTATGTAAATGTAGGCTATATAAGCACTACTATTGCCATTTTATGGATATTTTGCCCGCGGGATCAGCACCCATGTATATGCATGATTTTTGGGACTTTCACCTTGGACATACAGGCAAACTTATTTGATGTAACAACAACTTTTTTCCAGATTCACCCATTTTCTCAAAACAATATATGTTTGCAATGTATAAATATGAAATAATAACCGATCCAAATCAATGAGAAAAATAGTTTCAATTTTTCCTAATTCTCATGTAATTTCTATAGCAATCATAACTATCCTCCACCGATGGCCTAAAATAGATATTTCTAAACAGATAAATAATATTCCATAAAGATAAACTTTCCAAATTCCAAAGTGTGAGTGGTAATACATACCCAACTCCACCATCTTCATCAAAAGCAATCTAATTTCATAATTTCAACATCAATCTCATTATTTATATAAAATTAACATTTATCATAATTAAGGCAAATCTCCTCTCTTCTTCTTTTTTTTCCCCTCAAAATCAATTCTACATATCGAAACCAATTATTTCACCACAACTCAACCTTATTTCCAACCCCACAACCATTTTCACGAAACCATTAGAAACCCTCTTTTGGTCTTTAACCCCAAACCCTTTATTTGTTCTAAATCTTCCAAAATCTCAATATTGTTTAGAAAAAACAAATAGCTAAGTTAAATCTCATAAAAAGTATGGAGATATCCCTACCTCAAGTTTTAGAAGATGAGAGAGAGAGAGAGTGTAGGAAACCCAAAGACGCCAAAAATCAACTTCATTCAGATTAGAATGAAGCCCTCGTTGAGCTCTACCTTTTTAACAAAGGAACATAGGTGAAGAGCTCGATGGATCTAGGTGTATTTGTAGAGAGAATGTGAGTTTTAGAGAGAGAGAGAGATAGATGAAAAAGTGATATAAAAAGTGACTTTACAGACTGATATACGCGTAGATGAGCCAAGAAGTGTCGTTCGAGCGTCCAAACACTAAAGATGTGACCGCTCGAGCGCAAGAAGCTTCGCTCGAGCGCAAGAAGCTTCGCTCAAGCGCAGAATACAAACTCTCAAAAGTTTTACAGATAAAAGACTATCGTTTGAGCTTAACAATGGTTTCTTGAGCTGACACTGCTCGAGCGCAAGAGGCATTGCTTAAGCGTAGAATACCGCTTCCCAGTAGTTTTGCCGACCTGCAAAAGTACTAAGAGTTTACAAAGACCGCTCAAGCGCAAAATGTGATGCTCGAGTGAATGAACAAAATTCTAGGCAACAAAAGTTTAAAAAATAAGCTACCAACTTGTTCCAAACGCAATATACACATCTTAAAAGCCAACCTCAAAGAGAGATAAGAAAAGCAAGACAT